GAAAACAAGAGTGCGCGATGATGCAACAAAGTGGATATGTGATATGCGAGTGAAGCGTGATGACGACTGTATAAATTTCGTCGAGATGTCGTACGACGAAACTCATGTCGTTACATTATTATCTGTCGCGTTACATTATGATATAATACTGGAGCGCGAGGCAAACACAGGTACCGAAAGAAACAACTTCACTTCTGCCTCTCTATCTCTCTAGCAAGTTATTTCGGGAGATAGTTTGCATACGTGCTTGCTTCCGCATGACGCACACTCGATTGCAGTCCACGAATTTATAAATGTGAATTGCCGTTTCTTCATACATTGTTCAACCTTGAAGACGAATTTGTACGTTTCAACAGATTTATATCATGTAAAACAATCACGCATTTTTAATATATCGCTATCATGTACAACGAAGCGCAATTGATTGCTATAATCAATCATTCCCTTGTTAGATATTTATTCAAAGAGCATACGTTTGATTGATGAATAAATTGATTTTTACTTCAAAGTGCTGAATAATAAGCAAATTTTTAAGTTGCAAATTTAAAGTTTTACCATCCCATCTATATCTTTGTTTTGTATACGTATATAAAATATTTAAAATAATTCAAATGTAAGAGTTTCCTTTGTAAATTTTGTTTTACACGTTATTGGTTTTATTAGAGATCAAACTTACAAGCTCTGAGTTCTGAATGCACGCATATCAAGAGTTTAAATCACAGATGTTGCAAGAAATCTTTATACAATACTAAATTGTACTTTTTGAGGATGTTTTACATGTTGAATTAAATAATGAATAGTATAGTTACAAAGTTGTGCTTAAAATAGATTTTATAGATTTTGGATTTAAAGTAATCTTATGTATTTTCATTTTAACCTATTTAGGTGTAACTAACTCATCATTCTCCTTGCTAGCTCCATTCGTAGCTCCAATATGAGATCGCTGATCCGAAGGAAAGGCGAACGGAATCGCAAAGCGAGTTCTCTCACGGTGATCACTAAGTGATTTAGCAGAGATTTAACTCGGCCTTCGACTTCGCCTCGTTTAGCCCATGTTCGTTTCGAAGCTATTTCAAAGATTAACATTGGTCTGATGATTAAAATTTAGATACTGGATTGATACTGGTATTGGCAATGTCCAATGCATCCTCATAAAACCGACAAATGTTTCCCCGCGTAGTCTCCCCTTATCGAATTCGTATAGCACAATGCTTCCCTCAATAGCGATGAATCTCTTTCACTTTACTATTCTATTTTATTGCCTTGGAGAGCATTTAGCGGTATAACCGGTCTCGACAAGTTCATTAATTGTAGAAAACTGTCCTATATACTTTTTGAATTTCGATTTTATCATGAAAAGTATAAGCATATCGTTAAATTACTTCACTTTTGATAACTAATAGGGCAAAGTTTATCTAGCTCATTCACGGTAATAATTCTAAAATCTTTTTTTTTTAATTATGTCACTTTTAATGCAAGGATGAGATATTATAAACATTATCGGAAGAAAAAAAAAAATAAAAAAAATTTTAAAAACTTTTCAGAGTTATTTAGATTTATGTAATATAATGTGGAATAAAAACATGTAAAAAGATTTAATTTTATTAAATAATATCATATATTAAAATTTAATTCAATATATTTACATTTCTATCGTAATATGAGATTTTTTTTACGAAAAGATTTATAAGAACACATAAAAATGGTTCCAATATTATACATGTGTTTGGCAATGTCATAAATAATTTTCGACACGGATGGGTAACATGACTTATAGTTACTCAAGCATATTTCTCCTCTCGTGTATTACCGTTGCATATGCGATGTTATGTGAGCCCTATATAATAAATATCTACACTCCAAGTTAAGTCGCATCATATAGGGAGAGTACATACAGAGAAAGAGAAAGAGAGAGAGAGAGAGAGAGAGAGAGAGAGAGAAAGATGATGTTAATTTTTTAAATACTTCATTTTAAACATTACTAGTGTCACTAGTTGATAAAATTATCTATTAAATAAAAAAATTTTTTTAGCCATTAGCTTTTCCGGAACATATAATAATATGATTATACATATACATAAACCACTTATTTTAAGAAATCTAGATAAATCTAGATTCAGTATTTAGAAATCTTGAGCATATTAGGTGTATATTGTGTTCGAGATAACCATCTTATAGATATAATATTTTAAAAATCATATATTTTTTTCTTAAAAATTATGCATTTTAACAACTAATTTAAAAATATATTTTATTGCCAAAACAAATATAGTCTTGAAACAGAGTAATTAAAAATTTAGCTGTTGCTATAACTTGTATAATTAAGTGCCATCGGATTTTATTTTAATAGCATCTAATATTTTTGTCAAGAAATAAAACGGATAAAACAAAGATTATTTAATTTTAAATTATACCAAAGAGAATTTTTGCTAAATATTAGCAAATAAATCAACTGCCTATTTCCCCGAGCAATTTGCAAGAAATGCACGATTTCTGAAATGACCTATATTGCTCACATATCGCAAAGTAAATTCTCTTTAGGATATCGGCTTTCAAGTTCCACCATCTCAATGAATTATGCTTGCCTCTATGACGCATATAAATTATAGACGTTTCATATGCTTGATAGAAGCTGAGTTTCACATTATCGATTCAATCGCGATTGTTTCAATTACATTTTCCTGCAGTTTCAACAACCATTACAGTTTGCAACAACAAGGGTGAAATGGTGAAGGGAGACCACTATCAATTTCCTGAGACGTTCTCTCGCTGCACACCATATCGTGAGAGACATTAAATGGACACCTGTCATCGTACATTTGGATGCAATGCGTCGTTGTGTGCATTAAGAAAAGATACATGCGCTTTGCATGCAATAGCTGAGATTCGTGGCAAACTGAGCTGCATGCTGACGAAGGTTCTAAAATTGGCAAACGTACGGCAATAATAAACAGCACAGTCAGTATTTCTTAAATATAAGTATAAATGATTTCGCGGTAACACACTTTATTTGCATTAAGTGTCTGTCGTTGTCGTGTCTTGATTTAACTCAATTGTTAATTTTAATTTAATTTCACTTTTTTAACATCAAAGCTTCAATATAATTTCTGATATATATAAATATTTTAAAAACCAGACAAATTCTGGAGAACTAAAATTCTTAATTATCTTGGTATTGTAATCAATAAAATTTTCAAGGAAAACAAAATGCTATTAAACGTTCTTTGCAATGCGATGCTTTTCCATGCAATCGATATCTCGCTACAGAATCTTACCGCTCATCGATGGTTTCTCGATAAGCAAGCAAGCTTTCCTTCGTTTGTGTCCATTTCTGATCCACTTTTATTTTTTACGAAATCTATTTGGTAAAACGGAGATATTACTAACGCGTCTACCAAGATGGTATCGTATTTACGTCGAAGTGAATTGCGAAAACAAGGTACGCTGGTTTCCTGGGAAACCTCATTAGATTAAATATAATATTTCACATTTTAGCTCTTGCTATTATATTACTCACAAGAATACCATGAAAATACACTGAAATTTTTACTTAAATTTTAATTGAAGACTTTGAAATTATTATCAAAATTTTTCAAAAAGGCTATTAAATTTGAAGGAAGGAAGCGAATTTATCTTGCGGATGACATTTATAACTTCAAACAGTAAATGTATGCTATGCATAGAGGAAAATCGCAGAAACGAATCTCTTTAGAGACGATAGTTACGCGCCATGGACAAAATCTGCACGACGAATTTATTCGAAAAAGTTGGTAGATGCAAATAATATCAACACGACCAACGTTATAGTTAATACGTTAATCGTAGAAGCATCGTAGAAGCATCGCTGATGCATGTATCGCGGCAAAACGAGAAACAAGTAGTATAGCTTCGTATTCGCCACAGTAGGCAGCGAACGAGAAACAAATGCTCGCGTTAAATGCACCATCATCCCTATCCACTCTCCAGTTTCCCAACTAAAATGGAGAGAAACTGTCCCGACTATCCTATTTCCCTCCGAAAATCTCACAGCAATGCGACCAGCAAAAATGAGATAGTTGAATTTTTTTATTGTGTAACATGATCTCGTTTAAACTCGAGGGTAGTCTAAGGAAGGATAAAAGTTTAATTGTATTTTAACTAACTGAATTATGAGAGAGAGAGAGAGAGAGAGAGAGAGAGAGAGAGAGAAAGAGAAATTTGTGATGTTAAAGAATAATCTAAAGATGATAACTTTTTCGCATTTATTGGGTAAGTATTTAAAATATTTAAATTGTTTTTATAATAAATTTAAGTAGAATTTTTAAAATTTGACGTTCATAAGTCTAGACTATCACTGAGACATTAATTCTTTTGTATAATTAATTTATCCGATTTTACACCGTGACCACATTTCGTAAAGAATGCCAATTACGCCAAAATGTAATTTCTGTGATTATTGCGATCCTTGGCACGTTACATACAGACCTCATCCATTCTTTCTATTTCGGAGCTTTATTCTTTCGCCAGATAACGTGATCCAAATAGTCGAATGTTTTACAGCAGAAATGTTGGTAATTTTTAGGAATCTATACATTTACCTTTAGTTTTTAAGCAAGATTAATTAATATAAAATAAATTTAATATTAATTTTCATTAATACACTGCGGTCTCCGCATATTTAAAAACACAAAAAAATATGCTGCATATTTTGAGATTAAAATATTTTTATTTAAACAATTAAGCGAAATTTTTGTTAATTAGCTACCAACTAAGATTACATATACAATATCTAATATAAACACAGTATAAACCCATTTATAATATAGCATAACGAAAAATCGTCATTCCATTAAACAGTAATTTCAATAAATTGGCATCCAGCAACAACAAATGACAACATAAAAAAAGGAGCCATTCATGGAACAGTAACGGTAAAAACGACGTATCATCCAACAGAACGAAAGAAGGAATATCAATCGCGCAAAACACAACAGCTATAGACAGCTTCGTCCTAAGATTACCAATCAGATAGTCGCATATCCGCTATCGAATACCGAAAAGCGATCGCGTTCCGTCTCCGTCGACAATCCCACTATTTAGCAATGCAAAAGACAACATCACCATAAGAGTCGCGTTCACTATTTATAGTTAAATAACACATATAGGGCACAATCACATGCCGCGCAGAAGAGGGATTCAGCGGAGAGCAATCCCACAGGACTGCCACCCCCACGTCCACGCAACAACTGCAGGCAGGACTAACAGAACTGCCGTTCGCAATATTGTCGTTCTTTTTTTTTTGTCTCAACATACGTTGATCGTCCAGAAGAAGCAACGTCGTTGCTAACGTCTACGACAACGACGACGACGACGCTGCTTGGTTTATCGCGGTAGCGGGAGAGAAAAGGGACGAAAAAGAAGAGCTCTTCTCTCGTTCGCTCGAATCGCTCTCTCTTTGTCTCTCTCTCTCGCTCTTAGCCGAGGCCGGGGAGCATCATGATGGGGAATATTCGAAGAGGGTGGTTCGTAACGACGCACAACGACGACCGCGGCGCCGGTACCGCGGGTCAGACTGAAATCCGCGCGAGCAGTACTCAGCCTCTTGTAGAAAACGTTGAGCGCAAGCGCTACCGGTGGGGGTTACCGGTTGCCTGAGAGGGATGGGCCACGTTTCAAAAAGAGAAGCTCCCGTCGATCCACCCCCGCACGGATCGATCGACTTTTCATCGGCGCCCGTCGAAATGCGAGCGACGATGGAACGTGTCGCGCGCGCGTCATCGTCGCATTCTCTCCTAGCTCGTCGTTGAATTAACCCACAATCGAGTTAAATAGCAAAATATAATCAATCTCATGTAGGATAAACAGTAAGAAAAGAGCACAAGCAATCATGGATCAGAGTATATAATTAGCCTAAATAGTCTAAAAGAAGAAGAAGATACACTAACGAACATTACGCTAATGAAGTGCGTATATTAATAGAAACTAATGTTTGTTTTTAGCTAAAGAAAAGAGTGCAATTCTTATTAAAGCCGGGAGCACAGACTTTTGCATAACGCTGCATAACGCACAAGACATAAAGCATAAGAGAATCGACCAATCAGAGTCCTTCATTTCATACTCTGATTGGTTGATTCTCTTATGCCTTACGTCTTATGCGTTATGCAGCGTTATGCAAAAGTCTGTGTCTCGGCCTTAAGTCTTTCGGATATGATCTTTTTCAAGATTACAAGAAAAGTAATATGTTCTATATTATACAAAAATATCATCCGAATTATTAGGGACAATAAGCTAATATTAATCATTGAAATATTTTAATTTATCCTTTTTCTTTGCAAGTATAATTTTCGTATAATAAATTTCCCGTATTGTCTTTTAATATTTTATATCATAAGTATCAAATATGGCTAGCGTATTACACATAACGTATACATACACGAACGCACAAAATTAACACAGATTTTAATACATTCTAGTCTCGGCTGAATGGAATTTGACTCTTTTCCCGCCTCATTATTTGTTGTAAACTATATCGGCCTTGTTTAAAATTATTGTTATTTAAACGCTATATACTTTCAATACGTTCCTTCTCTCCTTATAAATATATTGGTTCTTGTGATAAATATTACCACGCAGCGATCGAAAGGTAAGACACCCATCTCGGATAGGATCGGGAAGTTCCAGGTTCGAATCTTGGCTAAGGTAATACAGAATATACTTTCCAATAAATCCTTTACAATGTTTTACAATGCTTGTAGCATTGTCGTCGAATGAAGATTAATTTAATGGATATGTAACATTATTTCAACTTTAAATTATGACTGCGTTTTTAAAGACCGACTGAATAAGTAATCGGCACGCGGGTAGTTCTGGTTTACTGAACTTTAGAGAATTAAAAATATTATTATGCAACCAATATTTAGCCGAATTTGAGTCTTTTCCTCATTATTTTGTTTTACATTTATACACACGCGCGCGCGCCCGAATGTGCCAACATCTGAATAATTTAACACGCGTAATACTAGTCAAGGATGTTGTGAATCTTATGTAACATGTATACAATAAACAATACGTTATATATATATATATACATATATATATATATATTTCATTCCAGTAAAATATTTCATAACTGTAAAATGGATCACAATTCAGTTGACTTTAAAACGATTGTATTTTACAAAAAATATTGGTTTAGCATGGAAAACTCATTATTCTAATTTATTTAATTCGCGCGCGTAGCTTAAATATCTTCGTATAAAGTATCAATCCATTGTAAATTATAATGCAGAGAATTAGTAAGTAATCTATAATTCTTTCCATTTCTATCCCTGTGAAATCTTTATAAATTGTTTCAGTGCGCAAAGAATTTAACACAAATCTTAATTTAGTGTTTATTACTTTAAAGAAATGTAAGAAATTGTTATTCTCTCTAAAATAAATTCTCTAATAAATTTATGATTATTTTGTTAATAATTTCATTTCATTGATAAATGAATAACGTTTTAGCAAAAGTTTAATTGATGTAGAAAATGCTCGTATGCAAAAACGATTAAAAAAGATAATCTCTAAAAAAGCTTTAACAGTTGAATTGTAATTGCATTTTAAATATTTGAGGACACTTTGTATAAAATGTTAACACTAAATGTTAACAAATTGATCAAATAAAATTAATTTGCAAATTTATTGATATTATTATGTTTTAGATATGAGTCACTTTGTAAAGTTTTAATAAAAACGAAATTAAAATAAACATAAATTTAATTATATTTTGAACGTTTCATGCAAACGTATGTCTTAATAAATAAATGCGGTTTGTCATCATTTTATATATGTACATATATATAATAAGTTGACGTTCGCTTCGGGTGTCCATTATAACTATTATGCATTATAACTTCTGATGTCCATTATAAGTACAACCAGTGTGAATGACGCGTGAGCCAAAGAGCTCTATGCAAAATAAACCCGGTTTTCTTCACCGAACTTTGCGCACAAAGTAAGCGGCCAAGAACTCATTTCACTTCTCCCTTATCATCTGAATTTATCCTCGCTATCGCTGCATCTGACGCTAGTCGTCACTTTGCTGAAAGTTACTTTCCTACTTAATCTTTAACTTTGACATCGTTTTCACGGCGAGGACAAACTAAGGATTCAGATGCAACGCTGTTGAATTTTAAAATATAAATCAAAGATAGTATTTAAACAAAATAAGCATCGAAACATTAAATTTTATGATATAAATATAAGAATAAAAATATTCGAATTTTTATAATTATATTAGTGAACAGTTTACTTCTGTCATATCGTGTAATTTTACAGAAATGCTTTTGTATGAAATATATAAAAAAGTAAATATTTTTATTTTACGATAATAAAATAATAAAAATTTACTATTATCACTCTTTAATTTAGTTGGTTATAATTTATAGATTAATTTATAAATTAATTTTTTGTTAGCATAAATTAAGATGATTTAAATGCAATGCATTATGCGAGTAGTTTTATGCAAATTTATTGATATTCCAAAATATTCTCAATTAGAGATTTAGATTGTTTATTTTGGTTATTTTATATTATTGTAGATAGATGATTGATTAATTATAATAGTTATAACAAATGTATTCACTCACCGATCGTTGCGTCATATTTATTGCGCTGTTCTATAGTGTATCCTGAAAACAAGAATTTAAATCTTAATTATGATTGTATTACTTCATTACTCCATAAAATATAATTTTGAACCTAATTTTAATAGTAATCACGCATGTAAAATTGTTTATAAAGTTTAACAATTTATTTTTGCTTTATATTTACATGTTCTGATTTAAACAATATTTTTATCTTAAAATGAAAATAAGTAAAAAAATGGCACAAAAAGAATAAATATATATATAATTAGTACTGGTATTTTATAAATATAAATTTATTTCTATTATATATTAAATATAATAAAAATGCAAAAAATCAATATTATATTATAAAAAAGCATTAAACAGAGATTGCAAAAAATATGATAGCAATTAGAAATATGATCAGTATTATTATATTAGACAAACTTACTGCAATGTGATGTGTTTATGAATGTGTGTTATGCGACAAATAACAAGTATAATATGTCGAAACAAAAAGAGAAAGATTTTTTGCATCTCTTAAAAAGAATGGAACAGGATGGATTTGAAAAGGATGAAATCAAGTTACGTACCATTTTTCTTAGAAAGAAACAGACGTGAAAAGCGAAAGACAATAAGCGCGAAACGTAGACGATCACGATTACGATCAAGCAAATTAACAATTGGATATAATGGCGCGCTCGGCATTAATTTATTAATACGGCACTCCCGATATTTATTCACGCATGCACAAGTCACTTTGAAAAATGCACAAAAATATACGGAACATCGAATAAATTCAGCTAATTGATCGGAAATTCAATTAAGTATATATATACTAATCGCGATTAAGAAAGACGTTATATCTCTCTATTATAGTCTCTAATTTTGTTTGAGACAATTCTTTGTCGTTTTATGAGCGAGAAACACAAGCGAGTTAAAACAATAGAATTTGTATAAGAATTTTAATTGTCGAAGGATATTATTATAGCCTCAGTTAAATATGTTAGATTTGCAATTATCGCATATTATTATTATATTTTCCTTATCTCGTGTTCACATGGAATTATTTTGAAAATGGCAGGCACGGGATCTATAAAATTACATACTCGTTCTTTATATTAACGAATGAATATCGAGACATACGTGTAGGACTTGTCGCGTCAGTCAGCAATCCATATATATACGCGCATTAATTGGGACGTACATACACTAATAATTTCTGTACGCAAATATTACAAAATTCGGAATTAAAAACATGTAAATTTTTTCTTGGTAATGCAAAAAACAGTTTATGTCGAAAAATGCGATCAATCGCTCGTATTATATATATATATTTCATTCGTAGACTCGAATCATATAATCCGTAAACGTATTAAGATAATTGATCCCTATATACATATAAAGTGCACGCATTAATTTATGCACGCACGCTTAAGTTTTAATTGAGAATGCAAAACACGTACGCGTATATACATATATATACGTACGTAATATTAAATATATATAATCCGCTCGTTTTCAACAAGTAATAAAATTAAAGCTAATAAGTAATAAATTTAACGTATAATGCCTCATTTGATGGTTCCATTTATGAATTGTATAGACATATATTTAACAAGTTGAATAAAAAATGTGAGATTCGAGACTATTCTAGAGTGATATATTGCTCGTGATACGAAATTAACGATCAATTAATTAACGTATACGATGTTGTCCATTTCTCGGCGACTTTCAAATATACGTAAAACACAAGATGTATGAATAACAATAATGATGAGATTAACTAAGAAACATTTGACACTGCCGAGATTTAATTTACGTACGCATGTTTAAAACGACTATGAGTTATGCGAGCCTATGAGCAACTTGTGCTGTGTGCAATCGCGCATTCGATCGTCACGACACTCACGACATGACGTCAAAATATGGCAGCTGGTACGAATATATTTGCAGAGCATAAGCAACGGTCGATATTCTCCAGCAGAGAGAAGCTTCTCTCTGCAGGTCACGTAAAATGGTCATGTTTGTTATCCTTAGTCGATACAGCTAAAATAGTGCAGGTAATGTCATCGTTCTTCAATTCCACCTTTGGATTTGTACATACATACATACATACATATATGTATATATATACTTATAGGTCCGGTTTTACTCCATTATACATAACCTCTAATCGACTCGAGCCGCATAGCCGCTGATAGCCGCTATTGACTGTTGACAGCTGTGGACAACTTGGTTAGTCGCTGTCATTCGAACAGGTAAAAACACATAGATAGACTTAAAGTTAAATAAATATTTCAAAGAAAAAATACGAATCTTTCGATGTAATCGAAAGTCATCAGGAATGCTAAATCGCTCTAAATCTGCTCTCTGTCGCAGCTGGTGAGATAATTCGAGGGAATTTGAGGTGTGCCACGTGTGTGCGCGGTGCGCACAGTGTAGACCCTCGTAACGCCGAAACTGCCGAAAGTAAAATAGAAGAAATATGGTACTCGACTTGGATTTTTTCCGTAAGGATAAGGGTTTTGATCCAGAAAGAATCCGGGAGAACCAGCGGAAGCGTTTCAAGGATGTGAAACTAGTAGATACCGTAATCGAGAAGGACAAGCAATGGCGGCAATTGCGTCATCGCGCTGACAATTTCAACAAGCTGAAAAATCTGTGCAGCAAGGAGATCGGTGAGAAGATGAAGAAGAAGGAGCCGCTTGGCGACGACGGTACTGTGCCCCAGGTGATCGCCAATGATTTGGACAACTTAACCTCAGAGAACCTGAAAGTGTTGACGGTGACACAGATCAAAGGAATACGTACCCTCATCGATGTTGCCATACAGAAAAACGATGAGAACCTGAAGACTATCGAATTCGATAGGAATGCTGCACTCAGGGAAGTGGGAAATCATTTGCATGAATCTGTGCCTGTTAGCGACGACGAAGAAGAAAACAAAGTATGTTTCATTCTCACTTGTTCCCTCTTATTTAGATTTAAATTGCGAGATATTATATTGCTTGTTCTTGTAGTGTCCGTTTATTTATTCTTATCATTCTAATCACTCTACTGCATCTACAGGTGGAGAGAACGTGGGGAGAGTGCACCGAGAGAAAAAAGTACTCTCATGTCGACCTCATCCATATGATCGATGGAATGGATGGAGAACGTGGAACAGGTGTGTCCGGTGGACGAGGCTATTTTCTCACTGGCCCAGCGGTGTTTCTCCAACAAGCCCTAATACAATTGGCATTGAGCGAGTTACACAAGAAAGGCTACAAACCTCTTTACGCTCCATTTATCATGCGGAAAGACGCGATGCAAGAAGTAGCGCAGTTATCTCAATTCGACGAGGAATTATACAAGGTATCGAAAAAGTTGCGTTTTAAAAGACTTGATACAAGATATTAATTTGATTTGTAATTATCCTATTTTATTTTCTATCACAGGTGATTGGTAAAGGTAGCGAACGTAATGAGGACAAAGAAATGGAAGAGAAATACCTTATTGCTACCTCCGAGCAGCCAATAGCAGCTTTTCATAGAGGCGAATGGATAGCCGAAAGTGCTTTACCAATAAAATATGCCGGAATCTCTACTTGCTTTAGACAAGAAGTTGGCTCTCATGGACGAGATACTAGGGGTATTTTTAGAGTGCATCAGTTTGAAAAGGTATCCGAAATTAAATAATTATCTATCAATCAACATTGGCTTCTTAACTCTGAATCTTGGCCTCTTCAAAATCTAAAGATTTGGTCTTCCTCCTTAAACATTTGCGACATTAAGTGTTTTATGGTGATATAGTTGTCAGCTACATGCGCAAAGCTCCCTAGCTCGGATGGCCAGATTTTTGCTAGGATCTTGTGACCTTAGCTTACGCAAATAAATTAAAAAATTCCATGATTGTAATTCGGGATAAAAGATTGAGACCCGCTAATTATGTCCGTCATTGCAATAGGAAAGATTCGATTAAAAAATTGAGGCTCGCTAATTACAATATGTCCATATCATTGCGATATGAAACCGCGCAGCATCCCAAAAATAATTATTCGTTAAATAAAACAGTAAACTAAAAATATGCAATTGTCTGATTTATAGATAGAGCAATTTTGCCTTACGTCGCCACACGATAACAAATCCTGGGAGATGATGGAAGAAATGATTTCCAATGCGGAGAAATTTTATCAAACCTTGGGCATTCCTTATCGTATAGTTAATATTGTATCCGGTGCATTAAATCATGCAGCTTCCAAGAAGTTAGATTTGGAGGCCTGGTTTCCTGGCTCGGGTGCATTTCGCGAACTCGTGTCATGTAGCAATTGCTTGGATTATCAAGCGAGAAGATTGCTAGTCAGGTCAGTGGAGTGAAAATAAACATAAATATTCCTGCTTTCATAATCAACTTATCGCAAGAATTTTTATGAGAGCTCCTTTAATCTGTAGATACGGTCAAACGAAGAAAATGAACACTACGACGGACTACGTTCACATGCTGAACGCGACAATGTGCGCTGTGACGCGTGTAATTTGCGCAATTTTAGAAGTACATCAAACGGAAACTTGCATCAAGATACCAAAAGTTCTTGCGGATTACATGCCTTCCGAATACAAAAGTGAAATTCCATTTGTGAAAGCTGCGCCGATCGACGAGATTGAAACGAAGAAACAGAAAAAGCAAAAGGAAACCGTCTAAGTAGCATATAGTTACGTGAATATGGTGAAATAAAGCAAGTGGATTATAGATTTTATTTATTGCATTTTTTTTTAATATTCCATATTACGATCTAATTGAATCGCGCAGAGCTGTGTGATAGCTGTGTTACAATAGCTTTTTAAGAAAATACACATACGAATGTATTTTTGGCTCCTCAATACCCACAACTTTTTACGTATCTCACAACAATACTTATTTCTTTGACTCGAAAATTAAAAACTTCTTGACTCGCAAGATAAAATTTCATCTGGCCACTTTTATGTACAAAGACAAAAATTGTGTGCGTGCGTGTGTATGTAACATCCTCAAATATTGAAATTTAAATATTTCAATGAGAAATTTATTAACTTTATTACTCAAGAAGGCATGTATCCGTTCAACGATCATGTTAAGCTTAGAACAATCGGCGATTGTCAACACAGATTACAACATTTTATTTGATAACACTTGTTCAATATTTTTATAATCAGACATCGGTATATAATATATATGATTTTGTAATATACATTTGATGAAGAATATTTTTCATATATAATATTCCATATTTATCTACTTCCTGAAAACTCGTAATATCTCCGTAATGTGCTACGAATCCTTTTTATTTTTACAATTATCAGTATCATTAATACTAATGTACATACAAGAGGCCATTAAAATGTTTCCCCCAGAAAAATGTACTTCAGTGTGTGTGTGTGTACAATACACACACCACACACACACACACACACACTGAAATATATCATGAAAAGAAAAGAAACTTTACAGCGCTTCGCCAACAAGCTTATGGTCTTTCTACGACGATTATATGTATTTACCGGAAGAAAAGCACATGCCGATCTCCATTCGTAAAAAAAACTGTTATGTATGCTAATAATCGGTGTAATATTTTGGCCAGGCATAAGATAATCTACCATACTGCTCTTTTCACCTTATAAAATATAGACTTTACATTATTACGAGTAAATTTTCATATAATACATTTCTCATACAGTAAACCATCATCGCAGCAACATGCCTCGCCGCGAAATAATGTTAAAATTTTTTAAAATTCCATATTGTTATTATTCGTAGTCATAGCACTACGATTTATCATTTATTACTGAGCAGAGTAATTTAACTTCGATAAAACTGCAGGATGCGAGATATGGAAATGTTCGGCGGAAAGATCGAAGAAGTGTAATTACTTATGATTGAGTTTCAACATTCACTATCAGTATTGAAAATCTGTAGCACACGTCACACGTGTATTAAAGATTATCAGTACTGACACTAAATATCGGAACGCGGTCATTACGATCGACTAAAGGAATCGTTATGTGATGCACGATCAAATGTATCTTTTAATAGAAAATGATGGCATCGAGTTCTCAAACATTTCCAAGCTTTCATAGATGACAAATTTAGCCAACTTGTATAAACCGAAAAAAAATGAGACGCGCACGCTTAATTTTATATCAATATATGTATAATAACAAACTGAAAATATTGATTTTGCATAATTGGGGGGGGGGGGAGAATTCCGATAACGTAAAGAATGTCACAAGTGCCGTTCGAATAATTTCTTTCTGATCTCACATTCTTACTCTAATCTCTCAGTCGTTTAGAAAAAGTAAACGCATTTTTAAGTCGAAACAGTCGTGTATATATATATATATATGTGTGTGTGTGTGTGTGTGTGTGTGTGTATTTGTGTACCTCGTAATTTGGTCCAACAACTGGTACTCGTTTTAAGGGCGTCAGTGTTAAAATCTGCCAATCGCTGTCGGCTTCATCCGCAAAACACACTCAGTTTCGCATTCAGCCCATGACGCGTTGAAACGATGAGTTGTGAGACATTGATATAGATATAGGCACAATGGGAAAATCAGTAAATAAACAACTTATGGTACAATACACAAGTGTAAAAAAAATGATCTCTCTCTCTCTCTCTCTCTCTCTCTCCCCCTTCCTCCGAAAAAATTTCTCCATATCTGATCCATTTCATACCGATTAGATATGATTAAGAAAAATATACACGTATGTATCGCTTTTTTTCTTTTTTTTTCTTCTTTTTAATGTAATTTCTTAGAATAAATTCACGCGCAAGAGAATGTCTATACAATTTATACATAAGAATTCGTCCCAAAGATATTGCTTAACGACACTGAAATAGATCATAAGAAGTATGTATTAGTCGATCACGATTCAAGATACAAAGCGGACTGTTTGTCTCGTTGGATTGGTGCAGATTTTAATGCCTCAGCCAGATATATAATTCTTTTCTACATATAATACATATCATGATGTTATACATATGCGACTGCATTTAATAGTTTGCTTTATACATTTGTGTGTGTGTATGTATATATAATATATATGTATAATATATAAATATATATATATATACATATATATATATATATATATATATATATAATTTCAATATTCCCACGCATGTATACGCACGTACATCGGGTATAATGTGTCAATGTCCAACGTGAAATGTTTTTACTGGATGGATACATATATGGCTTGTTCTTTATAGCTCAACTGGCTGCATTACTTTACAGTTTATCTTTCTTTTTTACATTAGAAGAAAAAAAATAAACTCTGAACTAGTACAGCCAGTTCAGCTATAAAGAACAGGCCTATAAAATCATCATCCATGACTTATACACACACACACACATATATATATATATATACATATATATGTATATGTATATTTACTTTTGTATGCTTCATATATTTTTATAACATTAATCTTGACTGATAATATATAATTACATAACAGTTTTAAAAATATTTCAAAATTAAACAAGAAATAATAGAATATTATGATAAATCGCGTAAGCAGCTAAGCACAGTAAAAATATATTTAACGCAAATAATAAAAAAAAATAATAATAAAAGTATAAGAAGCGCTTAATTTAGTGTGCATATCCGTTTATACATTAAGGAAGAGATACAAAGAGGAAGGAAACACACACAGGAAGAAAGTCTAGTGGTGAAGAAATAGTCAGTAGAGTAGCCGCCACTTTTACTTTACTTCTGTTTTCTAGATCACAGTCACATTCATGGCTGCTAAATCACGGAACATATTTCATCACCATATGAAATAAGGGGGGGGGGAAGAAGATATATATATATATATATGTACGTGTGTGCATGCGCGCGCGCATATATCAAACAATTTTTCAAGAATCTTATAAATACTGGAAAGTAGTTTGCTAATTTACGCAAGTACAAAATATATATAATATTTTTTTTTTTTGTATTAATTCTTTGAGATGGGCTATAATGTGAGAGATATTCAAATCCTGTTAAGATCCTGTGTCATCTAGATCTAAGAATGTACCTCTCTCTCAAATAATATATCGTTTTTAAAAAGACTTACGAAAAATCCGCGTATAGATTAAAAAAAGAGGTGGCGCTTACAATGGAAACAATTTCTTGATAGAGATGACTTTATTTCCGTTATTGCTGAACAATATTACAGTATAAGACTTGAGCATTCGTGTCTAAAATATTTTAATAAAATATCTTGTTCCAAAAGTTCTACAAATCTCATATCGGATGAGAGATATTTTATTAGAATTTTGCCAAATTAAAAACGAGTTTGCATACTTCACGATATACAATATTAAACGAACATATGCAACTAGAAAATTCTCACACAATTATACGATATCCTTTGAAATTTGATTGCTTGCATAAAACGCAATCATAAAAATCGTTTTAAAACGTATTAAAATGGCTTGTAATATAAATCTAAAGCAAATTGTCATCAAAGTAGAGAAATTAATTAAGTAATATCAGCGATACGAAATTTTACAGGATCAATCCAGGCTTTAAGTTTCCCTCTTTCTACGTTACTATTTACCACTAGTGCGCTTAACATTCGATAAAAAATAATAAATCAAGAGACAATAGGATGATGATATATATATATATATATATATAATTATATTATATACAAACACAATAGTATCCTAATGCTTTAGGAAAGGATTAACTTTGGAGAAGGGTGGGAGGACCGTCCCGAGCACAAGAGTCCACTACAGATGAAGGCCCATGATTTGCAATTATTCTAAACTTAATTCTGTCTGCACTTTTCCTCATAATTATAGATCTACAAATTACAGTACCATATATTCTACCATCTCCATTAAATATATATACATATATATACACATGTATATATATATATATATATATATATACTTATTTATTTCAATTAATATATTGTTTCCTATTTACAAAATATATGTAGAATAGACATTGTCTCATATCCTAACTACGTGATATACGTGCCGCGGCGCGAGACTTCAACCTGTCGAGGTGCGCTTTTTTTTATAAACATATCACTAATTACACATAATCTATTTTACAGCCAAATTCAACAATCTTTGCTAAAATTCGATGCGATAATTCTGAAAGCTTTAATAACGTAAAACGAGGGAGAACATTGGATCAGTAAAAGAGGATGTTAAAACAGATGCAATATACTGTATCTTTTCTCTTGTAAACAATAAACCTATTAAAATACACGATATAACAACACTGATCCTATTCAACATATTGTACAAATTTACTGTATACATTTACTGTATACATATACGTTTAGGCTTTGATAAAAGTGTACGCGATTTTATTTTTAATACATTGCTATTGTTAATGATAATATACGGTAATTGCCGATAATTAAAAATTGATGTTGACATTTGAGTACTACAACGATTAAATTTTGTTCTTGCCTCTCCATCTATGTACATGTTAAGTACTTGATACATGCGATAAAGATAATAATAAAATGTGTATTTATCACGGCCAAAAAAAAAGACAAAAAATTACGACCTGCATAAAAGCACTTAAATCTAAGGCCCGAGAAAAAAAAAGAAATATAAAATAATTAAAAAAAAATGAAAAAAAGATAGACCGTTTTTAAAACACTTATAAAATAGATTATAGTAGATTAATGCATTGAATCTTAGCAAAGCTCTAAAAACAGTAGAATAAGTACTTTCAAATATTTCAAATGTCAGATAAACATATTACATATTATCTATATATCAGGAGCCATCTAACAATTATTCTTTTACTAGTACGGGAATTATAGCGCATGCATATTCCCTTCACTTGTCGCCGCACAATGGCACGATTTTTACTTCTGGTATCGTAATCTATAAATAAATCAAGAATACGATTCTCTTACAACTCTTCAGATAAAGAATTGCAGATTTCAACTCTTCAGATATTCTTTGTCTCAAGATTATTTCGTACTATTTACACGCAAAATAAACATTCTGATAAGTGTATTACATACATTTTTGTGCAGTGTATCGCAGTTTTCATTCTATAGCTTTTTTCGACCTACATACGATATGTGTGTATATATATATATATATATATATATATATATATATATATAAACTGATTTTAATATCATAAATGTTCCAATTACGTTTTTTTTCTCTCTTCCTCTCTTTCTCTGTTTTTGCCTGTCCCTTTTTTCCTCTATATGAATTTTATTTCATATTTTCAACAATATTTAACAATAGCTTAGGCCTTTCATGAAACACGCAGGACGTGTTGATGTACAAATATCAATTGCACAATTAGAACTGCGCAACAAAACGCGAATTACAATTTTAAAATGTAATAAAATAATCACAAATCGATAAAATTATCATATTTGTTAACATAATCATAATCATTTTCCTTCTCGATCCTCGAATTTATAGAGCAGTATAGTGCTGTCTCTTTATTTCAAAGAAGAAAATTCATTTTGTGGCACATTTTAACATACAATTATACTTATTTTGCAACCCGTTATGTTTTCGTTACTGCGTTACTATGGTGGTGTAATATGTACAATTGGATTCATATGTAATGTTAAATTTGTATGCAAAAACATAAATTGCTGCAAAGTATCGTGTTATCTATTAAATATTTGTAATTTTCGTCATTTTTTTTATTATTCAACGACGATTGAACATAAAAATTCGAAAACATACTCCAAAAGAGAGCAGCTGATATCTCCAAACTCCGTTAAAAACTCAATATTATGTAAAATCGATCATTATTGACATTTATATATCGACACGTCATAGTTATGCCCGCTAAAGTCATCCACACCAAACTTTATCGTAATTTAAAATTGCACTAAAGGCTTTCGTAGTACTTAACAAATCCCAAAGAGTGCACTAATGACTTTTCTAGTAAATACTTCGCTCTTCAAAGGATAATGATGTATTCATGTTGTGGAGTAAGGGGATGCATAGTATCACAGTTGGCACGTGGGTGCTAGCTACCACTACTGCTTACAGGCAGTGAATGTGGAGCTCCCATCGATGTTGGAGGAGCAGTTGAACCTAAAGAGAAATATTCAGAAATCACTTATAATAATCAAATCAATCCATGATAAATAAAAAATATCGTACAAAATGCAATGAAATCTTTTATGCTTACCAGTTACAACAGGAGAAGATTCGGAGACTGGCAATGGACTAACGAGGCTATTAGCACTTGGTGTTGAATTGGCTTTCAATTTTTGTCTCACCTCTCGAATCTTCAATTGCAAACTAGTCTTCGTAGGAAATATATCTGAATGGTTAAGTTGAAAGGCGGTAGTCGCATGCGCAGATGGGAAGTAACCATGCTCTTGAAACAACTGCATGACCAATAATCTCCGTTGCTCCAGTATCTTCCTATGACCACGCTCGTTGTCACTTCTACCGATTCCCAACACGATATTCCCAGCACTGCTCCCAGGGGTTTTCGGCGTACGCGGAGAACTGGCATCGACATCCATTAGATCATTATTGGCTCTATAAGCATCGACGTTGAAATCCGGGCCGAAAAACGTGGTGCCTGTTAGTTTAACACTCGAAGTAGACTTTGGAGTGGCTGATATCGGTGTATCCGAATC